TAGTTCTTATTATGTTAGTGGAAAATAGTTTGTAATTAGTTAGCTATATTAAGATGTAGAGCGGGGGAGTCTGATATAGTCTCCTCATCACGTGGCCGAATATTGGTCATGTATCGCTCGTAGATGTAGTAATTTGTGAGTCGCGTGTATTTAAATTGTTTGATTTTGAATAATAAACCGGTAGACGATGTGTTGACCAATTTAATTACTCAAAGATAGACATCCTATTATTATAGAATGTTTGAATTAATTATTTTTTAGATTGTTATTATTTTGATTTGATTAATTAATTGGTAAGACGTTGAGCCGGCTTATTAATTATTTGAGGACGTGGAATCCTTTTATTTGAGAAGATATTTAAGTTAGTTTGATTAAAAAGTTTGATTTTTGTATAAGAATTTGATTGGAAAGAACCTAAGATTAAGTAAAAATTAATTAACCTAAATTAATTAGTCAAAATTGCACTAAGTAAAATAAATAAAAGAAAGTGTAAGGGTAAAGAATGGGTGTGAGTTAGGAAAAACATAGAAACATAGGTTCAAACCCACGATGAAATGTTAATCCTAATTCTTTCAAAATAAATAAAAAAGTTAATTAAAATATAAAAATAATAATAATTAAAAAAAACAAAAAGAAAAAAAGGTAGAAAAGAAGAGAAAAAAAGTTACATGGGGTGCCCCATCTCACGTTGCCATGACATGAATTAGTTTTTTTTATTTTTTAAATAAGGCTTATAAATACACATGGTATCAAAGTGTTATTGAGCTTTAAGGTTCATCCTGACATATTTCATGAGAATAAATAAATAAAAAGAAAGAAAACGTCAGTATCAATACAACTTATATGTACAATGTAAAATTCTTTTCACCTTTAATGCTCATATTAAAATAAAAATAAACGGCAACCACAAGTGTATGCACGTGAAAGAGTTTCTCAATTTTACCCAATTAATTTCTCGTTCTTTTGAAGAAATTATAATCATAGATAAACAACACTATTAACAGCAACAAATAAATATCTCATATTAAAGATTGGAAAGAAGAACTAATTGAAGGCTACGACGACTTTGATGTCGACTGTGCGGTCTGTGGGTGGTGTTGAATGGCTTCGTCAGCAGCGTTTATGTCCATTGTGTTGGCTCCCAAATTCGACACTTACTATATTTGGTCTTTTAGACCAAACAACTGGAAAGAACCAAGCCAGGAAGTATGATTCGACACATGAAATAACTTAAGGAAAAGATCTAAGTTATATTAGAATCTTCGACCAAGGGCTCATTCGACTGAAGAAGACTTATGTCACTCGACTAGGAGAAAGTATTCTCGCTTTGACACATGATACGAGGACTATTTGAATTTTGAATTATTGGAGGGAAAGGCAGTTTCGCCGACTTTTAAAAAGAGGCAACGTGGCTGAAAGCCATAGGTCGAGGGACATGCAAGAGACACTTGTCTTCATCCTAGCGCAGAATGTTCCCTCGACGGTTACTTATTTTTAGTATAAATTAAGAAACTTGTGTAATTTTCAAGGGTGTTCAACCTATTGTACTAAGTCGCTCAAACATTATCCAAGTAACTGCTGCGTAAGAAAGGATAAAGCTGAGAAATGTACGTTGGAAACACCTTTTTTCCTTAATGAAAGTCTTTTACATTACTTTACTATTATCTTACTTTACATTACTTGCATAATCTCAAACATCCTTTCTCTGGGTCGAACGTGCGTTCTTCCTGCTTATCCATTTTACATAAAAATTAGCATATGTCCTGGGATTAGTTTGATCGATCCCGTAAGTAAACCAAAAAAATTACCTTTTTGGAGATCAGCGGTTGTTTACCAAAAACAACGGTAAACAGGCTGCCAACCTCAGATTTGTTTCGTCTTTTTCTTCTTTCTTTGTATTTACGAGATTTTTGTGTAATATATGAGGGTCACTAAAAATTGTTAGTATTGTCGATTTTAAAAATACATATAATTTTATAAAATAACCATTAGGATTTATCATATGGTTAAACAAATTTAAAAGAACAAAATTGAAAAAAAAAGTGGGAGAGAGGGAAGCCTCATATTGAATCATTAGTCAAGAATAAAAACCACAAATGAAAAGAAATTGTAAAAGATGAAGTGTATGTGAGTGAATGAAATTGTAAAAATTATGGATTTGTGAATTTGTGAATGAAGTTTTGAATAGGTTTCAAAATGTTAGAACAAAAGAAAATTCAAGTGGATTTCAATTGTTACAATTGTATGTATGTAAACAAGATTTTGTTTGAATGAAAAAAACAATGTGAATGTCTGTATGTAATATGTTATTAGTAAGTGTTCAAGGTGACTAAGAAATACATAGGGTTTTCTAATTGTGTGAAGATAGGCATGTGGAAAGTGAAAAACAGTTGAGATTTAGTGAAAATATGTTGTGTAAATAATAATAATAATAATAATTTTTTAAAGAAAACCATCAAGAACAAAATCATCATATGGTATACACAAATAACAATAAAAATATATAAAATTGAAAATTAGAGGTAAGGGTCTCATATTGAATCATCGGCAAAATATAACACCAAAAGTATTCTTGAAAATAAATTTGAAAGGAAGTGTGTGGAATCGTAGAATTCATGGGTGAATTGTTTGTGTAAAACTAGGACAAACTAAGGTCCTATTTATAGACTTGAACTAGGTTAAACAAGACTTAGAGACTAAGTTATCCAAAATATATGAAAAGTCCAAAGCCCGATTTCCAAAAAAGGAAAAAAAATTAGTAACAAAAAAGATATAGAAAAAATGTTACAAAGTGCACCATAAGAGGTTTAAACCCGTGATCTCATATTTAAGAGCTTCATTACTTACCAATTGTGTTATGTTACTTATTCAAAATAAAGAGCTAGTTGAAAGTACATGAAGACGAGCAAGTATTTGTTATTTAAAAATACAAATAATTTGAAATAAATTATTATATTTTTAACTGGACTTGAGAATGAATATTTATAAAACCCCAAAATATTAATGTAAATCAAAAGAATTTTATAAAAATCCATGTTTGAAAATAAACTTGACAGTAGCACTAAGGACATGTAAATTTAGGGTATGACACCTTCCTCCAAATGTGGCATAACATTGTTGTTGTCAGCGTTACGAACGGGAGAGATAACAGTTTCGTGACCGTCGTTGTTGTCATCGTCTTGACCGACCATGATCGTTTTTGAGGTTTTTTGTTTTGATCTTTTGGTTTCAGGAAAGAAATGATGGGGAAACAAGTTTCCCACATACGACGCCACTGATCTCACCTGTTGATCAGAGTATGTGAGTAGTCGGCGACACGTCCGTAGTCTCAAATGATTAACGGGTGGGGGTTGTACATACAGGAACTCGGATGCTTAAGTCAGTTCAGATTAAGAGATAAGTAAGATATGGTAAAGAATAGAATATTCGACCCTCCTGTAGGTGAGGGTTTCTATAATTAGCCCCCAGCGTTGGCCAATGGTCTCCGTTATGGGTTGGATGTTCAGACCCACAACGGATGACTGTCAGGATTTCTACGTGAAAGTAGTGATGAGCAGTTCGTGCTTATCGTTCTGGGTCAACCGCTCTACACTCCACAGATAGTGAATGAATTTGCTCGTTACGAAGGGAAAAGCGGTTATGTCAGTCACGCGATGTGTGCGGGTTCAGTTGGTGATGTGTCCTCAAGATAGGAGCATGTGGGGAACATGTTCTCCACTGATCCTAACAGATTGGACCAACGCCTTGGGTCGTCTTCGACGTAGAATTGGATTGGACCGTGCTCGACGGTGGATCAGCCACATGCCCGGTCCAAAACAATTTCTTATCCCATAGATCGGTAATTTTAAAGACAAAATAGTGATAATTTATTATCTTCTAAATTACAATTGATTATACCTCAAGAATTGATTATACTTATCTTCTAAATTAAAATTGATTTTGCCTCAAAAAGTTATTCTACTTAAAATTATAATTTATAGGTTTTGAAGTGAAACTTAATTTTATTTCAAGTTATAAAATAGTATTTTTTGAAATTTTATTTTCAAAACTATTATTCTTAAGAATAATATTTTTATTTAAGTGTTTGGTTAAAAACTAAAATTCATAAAAAAGTTTATAAAATTTATTTAATTTAAAAATTAAAAAAAAATACAAATTAAAATAAATGTGAAGAGTAATGAAATATTATAATTAATTAAATTTTATTCTTATGAAAATGTTAGATGCCAATTCATTAAATATGAGAATAATTTAAGCAAAAATCATGTATAAAAATATTCTTTAGAATAAATAATATTCAAGAAAATTTTTTAGAATTTAAAATAAATGCGGATTTGTTGTTTTTCTAATATAAGAATTTCGAAAATACAATTTCAATCCTTAAAACAAACAAACTTCAGAGATTACTCGACACATGAATACATAAAGGAAAAGTCTATGGTAATGAATTTAGAGTAGATCAAGTAAGATCAAGGTTGCAGCTTCAATAACTGTTGTTTATCTGATGAAGATGAAATTTCCATCTATGTTTAAAACATCATATTAATTCTTCCTCTATATCTCTATAGTATTTTAGTAAAAAAAATTCTCCATTTTTTTAATTTCTTCTATAGGTTACAAACAAATGAGAAAGTACAGGCACATTAAAGAAAGTAGAGGGGTAAGGGTAATTGAAATCATGTGAGCACCAGGACATTTTCGAATTTTCATAGAACATTCTTGTATCACATGAGTCGGGTAAGCAATTCCCAGATTGTAAAAGTGGTCCTGTTTTACTGTAAAATGAAAATAAATTGTGCTCTACAATTGAAATCGACCAAATGTGCCTGAAAGAATTGCCCATATAACCAACCACTTGCATATTTGTCACTCAAATAGAAACTTCCCTTCCTAATCCTTTTAACCTTGTATATAAACATAAACAAAACAATCATATCATTTCATGAAAATAGTCAACTAATAATATAGTACTACTCAAATTTCTAATCTCCAAACACAAATCATTCATTCACTATAATCTTATTATTGTTTCCAGCAGCTGCTAAAAACTCATCAATACCCCTAACAGATGAACCCTTAACCTTAAACCCATCTCCATTTTCATCTCTCACAGCATTCTTTATCATCTCCCTAATCTCCCAAGCTTTCTCTCTAATCTTCAACCCATTTTCACTACACTCACTCATAAGCAACTCAATTTTCTCAACAATATCTTCATTCTTCACCACACAGCTCTTCCCTCTAGCAACCTCAATACAAACACCAATCTCCTCTTCCAACAACTTAGAGTTAAAAAACTGTTCAGCTGCCATAGGCCACCCAAGAATCGGTACCCCATGACTCAACGATTCCAACACCGAGTTCCAACCACAGTGACTCAAAAACGCAGACACAGACCCATGTGACAAAATCTCAACTTGAGGAGCCCAGTTATTTACTATTATACCCTTCTTTGTTTGTACCATCTTCTCCATGAACCCTGATGGTAACCATTCTTGAGGCTTGAATTCTGAGTTTATGTCAAATCCAATCGGTGGCCTCACTACCCAAATGAAATTTTTTCCACTTTTCTCCAACGCGATTCCCAGTTGCATCATTTGTTCAGATGAAATCGTGTTCATGGATCCGAAACAAACAAACAGTACCGAATTCAATGGCTTTGCATCGAGCCATTCTTTATAAAAACTAGGGTTTATTTCATCTTCTTTCCCTCGTGAACCGGAAAGAACAACCGGTCCGATCGGCCAAACCGGAATCTTGAGCTTTTTCACGAAGTAGTTGAGTCCAACCGAGTCGAATTCTGAAACCGTGTTGAACAAAATTCCATCTGAGTTTATCCAGTTAGGGAGATTCTTACGTTGAAAAACCGACCAATCGTCGAATCCATCCGCTTGTGAGATATTGTTCGGTAATTGATTTCTTTGAATCAAACGCGCTTCTGGAAAATCTGGTAAAGGAAATTCATCAGAGTTTGTGAAGCGGTGAGGGAGATTCATCCATAGAGAATAGTAACAAGCTAAACCGTAGCCACTGCAACCACTGAAAATAACATGAAAAAGGCCTAGTTCTTTAGCGACGGTTGAAGTCCAGCCGAAGAATATATCAGAAATTATGCAGATTTTATGTTGTTGTAACTGTTTTTGTTGGTTGATGATGTTTTTAAGGATGTTTTTGAAGGGTGATTTGAGGGAAAGAGAAGCTTCGATGAGTTTGATGACGAGGTTGTAAGGGACAGTGTCGGTGTTTTCGATGTTAGGTGGGAGGTTATGGTCGGAAGAGATGAAAGGGATGGTGAGGAGTTTGATGGAGGAATTCGGAGGAAGAGAGGGTTGAAGTTTTTGAATGTTGAGAGGGGTGCTGATAATGGTGATGTTGTAGTTTTTGGATTTTTGTTCAAGGTTGAGGGCTAAAGCTAAGAAAGGGATTATGTGACCTTGTGCCATGAATGGGAATAATACTATTGATTGTTTTTGTTCTTCTGCCATGGTTGGTTGTTGTTGAGGAAATGGAGAGTGTTTTTTATTTTATTTTTTATAAATGAGTGTTGTCTAGAATAGACGATCTGGTAGCATTAAATGTGGTCTATGTTTTGGTCTCCTTTCATAGTCACTTTTTACGTAAATTTTTTGAGTTTTACGATGAAATTAATTTTGTGAGTAGGTGAGAATGGAGAATTAAAACTGCCATTAAGTTTTTTAATAGAAATTTGACTAAACTTATGATTTTTTTATGGATAGCAAAACTTTCTGACTTTGACTTTGACTATGTGCTACACGTTCATGTTTTCCTAAACCTTTCCCTTTTGTATTTTCTTTATAACAAAACAATCCATTAAAGTAGTTCAAATTACACCACGGTTTATTATGCCCATTGGGCCACTACCCGGCCCACTCATTACAACTTATCAGAGTAATGTTTCTAGTTAGGTCATGAGTTGTTTTATTTTGTGTTCTGAAAATATGAGAAACTCTAAATTCGCTGATAGCTTTATATCCCTTCTTGAACTTGCGTATCAATCCTTCCACCATTTTTCCTTGAAGTGTCGTATTTGCTCCCTATAATGCTTTGGATGAGATTCAAACTGTTTGTCGCGAAATGAACTTTTAGTATCCCTTATGGTCACCTTGTCTTGTGCCATAACCATCACCATTATCTCCGTTTCCATAGGATTGTTACCCCCCTTTCGGGCAATGAACAATCACTTCTATTATGTTATCATTCACGTTTCTAAACTCAACACCAAAGCCCTTATTTGTCTTTAACTGCAAGGCTCGCGTCTGATTTACATATAATCCATTCATTCACATGGGATGTTCTTCGACCACTTTCCTCATCTTTGTTATCTTCATACTGGTAAATCACTACCTCTTTTTTGATTTGTTCCTTCGTTTGATTTCTTTCCTTTGTATTATTATTGCGCTTCTGATGATTATCCTCCCGCTTACTCTGAACCCAACTACTACAAATTCCTTTGGTGCCTTTGTGCTTATATACTAATAAGACCAATATCATGTTTTTGTGTATTGTTTTTTATAGGGCCACCATTTGCCTTTAACAGTTGCATCTCGTTGTTGATGTCCACTTTACTGGACTTGGAACCAGACCTCTTAAGAAGGTTTTTGAAGTTTATTATCACCTTCATGATTTGTTCCAATCTCCAAAATATTCTCATGAATATTATCTAGGTTCCAACTCCCTTTTCCTTCCTCAATGAGGTTCCTAACTCCAACCACCCCCGCCAAATGTTTTTGTGTTAGGAGTTTAAACCTATACTGATTTGGGATCGAGTTGTCTTCCCAGATTTTAACATTTCTACCATTGCCAATGATCCAACAACTGCCCTTATTAATGACTTTTATGCCTTTATGTAAACTTCTCCAAATGAAACTAGGCCTTCCGCCTAACTAGTCCTTTAGGATGTCCGTATTAGGATAATATTTAATTTTTATCACTCTAGCCACCAGAGAGGAGGGTTCAATGCAAAATCTCCAAATCTGTTTGGTTAATATGTCTATATTGAAGTTTTGAAAGACTTTAAATCCCAAACCCTGCAACAAATTAGACTTACAAAGTTCTTTCCATTTACACCAGTGAATCTTATGATCCCCCACCAAAAATCGGCTATAATTGTTGGAATAACTTTGGTTCTGCAACTATCTTTGAGGTTTGATGATAACAAAGTATACATTGTATAGAGAATAATTGTGTACTCTAATAGTTTTGTTAAGTGCGCAAGTTCTGGTAAGTAGACTCTAGACTATAAACTAGCAAGTTTTGGACTCTGGGCTAGTGAAGTTTTGGACTCTAAACAAGAAAGCTCGGAGCTCCGAACATCAAACACACTTTGAGAATACAAAGATGTGTTTACAATGAAAATCTGTATTTGAATTATCAAGTCAACTCTTATGAAAGAATTTTATCCAGAATGACTCTGGTATATTTAAGACTCTAAAGTCTCACGTTCTCAAAATTCTGAAGACTGACTCTGATCAAGATTCATCATGTCTTATTTGAAGCCTCTGACTCAAGAAGATAAACTCTGAAAGAAGATATTGAGAAAATATTAAGGAAATATGACTATATCAAATATCCTCGCCACTACCCTGTAAATCAGGATAAAAGATTGTACTTTTGTACCAACTTTGTTTCAATATGTCTCATCCTCTCTCCCACCATAGTGCAAGCTCCACTCTACTATTATACAATCAAACATTTTCATGCAAGTTGTGATATTAAGAAATTCCAACTTCACCCTCCAACGAATCTATTCATCATCTATATCAAGAGGCCCTTGAAGTACAGAAAAATAATAAGGTAGAGGAAATAAGTGATAAGCGTCGAGAACGAAAGAAAAATTGAGAATCTAAACAAATAAGAAATCCATTGTTTGTAAAGCTTTATACTTTTTATTCTTTGTTAGAAAACTTGTTACATTGAAATTGTGTGTATTGGTTTTCTTAGAAGCACTTTGTAAATACAATCTTGTAATCTTAATCTTTGGATAATTTCCTTAAGGGACTAGGGTATAGTCAGAATCCTTAGGAAGACATTGGTTGTGATCTTTGTGTTTGTAATTAAAGTATTTATTAGTGGATTAAGTCCCTATTGAGAAGGCAGAATCACTTTGGCGAGTTGGCTGGACTAACCTAGTTAAAGGGGAATCAGGATAAAAAATACTGGTGCTTTTTAATCATTGTTGTATTTGTGTTATTTGTGTTTATTCGAACGAAACAATTTTATTCTTGAAACCCAATTCAAATCCCCTTTCTTTTTTTCATTGGACCTTCAATTGGCATCAAAGTTTTGATTATGATATTGATTTTTATATCAAACACTTAATCGTGTCAGATAAAGATTCAGTTATTGAAACACAATGGCATGAGTTCCTCCACTTGCTGCTAACAATGATAAAGACCACTACTCTTCTAAACCTTCATTTTTTATGGTGATAAGTTTGATTATTGGAAGGATAGAATCAAAAGTTTCTTCCTTGGATTTGATGTTGATTTGTGAGATTTAGTAACAGATGGTTACACACATCCTTTAAATTCAAATGGTGTTAAAATGGAAAGAAGTGCTATGAATGATCAACAGAAAAAGGACAATAAAAATCATCATAGGTCAAAAACCATTTCGTTGAATGTTATTTCATACACTGGGTATGAAAAGATAATAAATAGAGACTCTGCAAAGTCTATATTTGATTCTCTTAGAATGACTCGTGAAGGAAACAAACAAGTGAAAGAACCCAAGGGTCTGGCCTTGATTCAAAAATATGAATCCTTCATAATAGAAGATGAATAAACCATTGATGATATGTTCTCAAGGTTTTAGACTCTCGTTGTTGGTTTGAAAGTCTTGAACAAAAACTAAACCACTGCATATCACGTGAAAAGATCACCAGAAGCCTACCAAACAAATGTATATGCTTCCTTAAGAGATTCTAAAGCATGGTTAATATTATTTATCTCCTCTGAAATTCTGGTATCAGATATGTGATATCGAATGAGATGTCACGACACAAATATTTATTTACAAGTAAGGTGCAGTAAAATCAAAACCAATAAAAACACAAGAGATTGTACACCCAGTTCAGTGTACAACAACACCTACTCTGGGGGCTACCAAGTCAGGGACAAGTTCACTAAATAGTATCAATTCATAGACCCTTAGTAAATAACCAATTTACGATCTAATCACTACCCAAGCCAAACTTCTACCTGAGACTTACATAGATATGAGGCCACTCTCAAATCCCTTCAATCACTTACAGTGAAGAACTTAAAAAAATTAATAAGTCTAAAACACTTCAATCATTCAATGCTTAAAAGCTTATGAATGATACACAATTAACAACCCAAATAACAACTCAAGTATTTAAACTAATATTTAGAGTGTATTACAAATAAAAAGCCTAGACTTCTAATCAGAAAGAAAGTATTCTTCTTCAAAAGTTGTTTGTCTTTGAATAAGGAAACAAGTCCTTATATATGCGAAGTTTTGGGCTTGGGCATAAATATTCAAATCTTTTGAATATTTCCACAAAAACAGGCCAAGATAAAATTATGCAATTTGAAAAATATTCCTCCATATTTTTCGCAGCCTGTAGATCACGAATCCTGAATTATAGAATGTTGGAAATCAGGAAACAAAAGACTTAACTGATTTTGGGCTGAGATCAGTTCAGTAGACAGATGTCAAGACATCTGCTTTGACATCATTCAAAATAGTTTTGCTTCAAATGTTAAGACATTTAGCAAAATATTAACAAGTCATTATTTTACCAAAATTACTGCCAACAAACACTTACAAACTCCCTCTTTGGTAAATTTTGGCTAAAGCATTGTTAAAGCATATTATCAGAGCAGTAGCAGAATTATCAGAGCATTATCAGGGAAGCAGCAAAAGCAAGGCAATCAAGACATACATTCAGTTAGAAATTAGCTATTAGCACATGAAGATGTCAAAACATCTTCTGGGACATGAAGCTCCCCCTTAAGTATTGAGCTCCCCCTCAATCAATGGTCAGTGGTCAGTCAGTGGTTAGTCAGTCACTCACTTCCCCCCCCCCCCTTTTAGTCATAATATGCCAAAGAAAAGATGCAATCAAAGGAATATCAGTATTAGGGTACATACTATAAAATTCAAATGTCAAGCACATGCAAGTGCCATAAAAAAGGAAACAAAGTGTTCAGAGAAACATCAGGTAGTCTAACTGTCATCCGGACCAGTTGACTTGGTTGAACCAAAACTTCTTTCCATATTGAAGTCTTTACATTCAGAGCTCACTGCATCATTAAGGTTGTTATCCTTTTTCAGGTCCTTGATCATCTTTTCAAAGATTTTCTTCCTAGCTGAGCTCACTCTGATCACATCATCTAATTCCTTGCAGGCTTCCCTTAGTTCATTGATCATTTCATCCTTAGTGGAGGCCTTTTCAGCAAGAGTAGATGTTAAAATAATGTCTGGGACATGTTTTCCTAAA